TTCTAAGATTTGATTTACATTTCTAATTAAAATTGTTTTTGATCATACGTATAGATAATTATATAAAAATTCCAAAATTCTAAAATTTCAAATACATACAAAAACAATCATATGTAAATTTTAAATTTGTGAATATTAAAATTTTATATTTTAATTACATATATTCACCCTGCGCAAGGCGCAGGTCTTATCCTAGTTGATAAATATAACGGGAGTTGCTTTTACTCTCACCTTGTACACTCTTTATGTATTTTACCACCACCATCTTCCTCTCTGAACTGAAAGGGTGAAAAAACAAAAATAGAAAAAAAGGAAGAAAATCTTTGATATTGCCTTTGAAGTCGGAGAGCCTATAAACTCTCACCAAACAAAACAAATCAAACAAACCCCCACCCAAAAAAATCAAAAAAGAAAAAAAAGAAGAAGAAGGAAGAGGATCAATAATAATAATAATAATAGATCGCCTCCAAAAGAAAGAAAGCTCAAGATCCTCGGGGGACGACATTATCGCCTGCTTTGTAGATCATTCAATTTCAATCGCTCTCTCTCTCAGATCTTTAATCTTGTTGGTAAAAGAATATTAGTTTTGGGTGAAGGAAGGAAGGAAGGATGAAGCATGTGGATGAAACTCCGTCGACTCCTGGCAAGTTCAAGATCGACAAATCTCCCTACTTCCTCCACCGCACTCGCTGGCAATCATCCGTGGCTAAGCTCGCCTTCTGGTCTCTCGTCTTCGTGGGCTTCCTCTTCCTCTTCTTCTCCCGCTCTCCCTCCTCCTCCTCCCTCCCCCCCGACCCCTCTCGCCGCTCCCTCCGCACCTACTCCTGGGGCGGCCCCTCCTGGGAGAAACGCGTCCGCTCCTCCGCCCACGTCCGCACCCGCCGCGGCGTCTCCGTTCTCGTCACCGGTGCCGCCGGTTTCGTCGGCACCCACGTCTCCGCCGCCCTCAAGCGACGCGGAGACGGCGTCCTGGGCCTCGACAACTTCAACGACTACTACGATCCCTCCCTCAAGAGGGCCAGGCAAGCCCTTCTCGAGCGCAGCGGAGTCTTCGTCGTCGAAGGAGACATCAACGACGCCGCCCTCCTCAAGAAGCTCTTCGAGGTCGTCCCTTTCACCCACGTTATGCATTTGGCTGCTCAGGCCGGCGTCAGGTACGCCATGGAGAACCCCAGTTCCTACGTTCATAGTAACATCGCTGGATTCGTCAATCTCCTTGAGGTCTGTAAATCTGCTAATCCCCAGCCTGCCATCGTCTGGGCTTCCTCCAGCTCCGTCTACGGTTTGAACACCAAAGTGCCTTTCTCCGAGAAGGACAGAACCGACCAGCCTGCTAGTCTCTATGCTGCTACCAAGAAGGCTGGTGAAGAGATTGCTCACACTTACAACCACATCTACGGCCTCTCTCTCACGGGTTTGAGGTTTTTCACGGTCTACGGTCCTTGGGGAAGACCAGACATGGCTTACTTCTTCTTCACCAGAGACATTCTCAAAGGCAAAGCCATTTCTGTCTTTGAAGGAGCCAACCACGGGACTGTCGCCAGGGACTTTACCTACATCGACGACATTGTCAAGGGGTGTTTGGGGGCTTTGGACACGGCTGAGAAGAGCACAGGGAGTGGTGGTAAGAAGCGTGGTGCCGCTCAGTTGAGGGTTTTCAATCTGGGAAACACGTCCCCGGTTCCAGTGTCTGATCTCGTGAGTATACTGGAGAGATTGTTGAAAGTCAAGGCAAAGAGGAACATTATGAAGCTGCCGAGGAATGGGGATGTGCAGTTCACTCATGCTAACATCAGTTCTGCGCAGAGAGAGCTCGGTTACAAACCCACCACCGATCTTCAGACGGGTCTTAAGAAGTTTGCCAGATGGTATTTGGGTTACTACAATGGCGGAAAGAAAGCTGCTAGCTGATTTCATTCATCATCATGATCGAGATCGAGATCGAGATCCTCCTCTTTGTGTTTGTTGTAGCTTGTGTAAGCCCTTCTTCTTCTTCTTTGATTCGAGATTCTTGTTGATTGTTTTCCACTTGCTCCTCCTTTTGTCTTCATTCTCCTTATATGTTTCTAAGCATCCATTTATACTCTTCCAGAAGAAACCATAAACTCAGATATATTACTTTCTTTTGTCCTTAATATATATATATCCTGCTCACACCACTATATTTCGTTTTAGATCTTATTTAGCTTACTTCTCTAAAAAGTAGGGTGTGTTGATCGTATGGTTCTCTTTAAGGTAAGTAAGTAGGTAGGATAAGATTCAATGGCGATTTCATGATCATAGGTCTCTTACCAGTAAAAAGGAGCATAAGATTCAAGATCAGAGTCCATTATTATTGTTCAGTTACTACTACATTTTTGAATATGATTCCCTTTTCAGATTTCTTTTCTTTGTGTGTAATTTGAAGAAACAAGAACAAGGTCTTTTTTTTTTCCGAGGAAAGGGTAGAGAGTCTAGAGTCAAAATGTCAAAAAGTTGAAAGACACTGAAGAAACTTCAACTTTTCCTGTGATTAAAACTTTGCTTGCGCACTAAGGATTCCTCATTTGACTAAAGGAAGGACTCGAAAGAAAACAAATAGAACTTCCTCTCACGTGTTGAAAGACTTTCTTTGTATGCAGCAAGTCTCTACACAGACTGCAACTTTGGAGCTTCCCACAGCTTCACTTTTTTGTCAACTCCTGCTGTCGCTAAAACCTGCGCCTCTCTCTCCCCTGAAACCCAAACAACACAAACTCCCAACTGTTCAAAGATGTCACATTATCACTAACATCTACTACTTTGTTCACAACACACAGGATACATACCAACTTTTATTGCCTTGGGTGCCCACGAAATGCATGTGATATCCCCTGCAAAAGATAGTTCAAAAAGAGCGTTTAGCTATACAGTTAAAAAAAAAACAGAAATTTGAGAGCCTATATTATCGAAGGGTAGAATCACCTTCGTGGGCTTTCTCAGCTGTGTCAATAACACTTCCAGTTTCAGCACATAACCACTGCAATGTGGAACCATGCGTTGCTGCCAATATCTTTCCCTCCGGACACAAACTGAGGCGATCATAGTGCAAAGGGTTTCCCCCCGCATCGCAAAGTGGAATCGGGAACACCTTCAAAGTCTTTGGATCCTCATCCATGTGATACCGGACTTCAATCAAATTACAACCAGTTTATTATTTGTTTGAGATAAAATAAGAATCTATCGTTATTCCTAGGAAGAACCTGCTCACATGTGGCAAATGCAGATATATAAAGAGGATACTAACCATTGATGTTCCAGAGTCTGATAGAACCATCCTTTGAAGCGGTAATGATTTTGTCAGAGTTTGGAGAAAAGCATAACCAAGTCACTGCACTCTGGATGGCATAGGTTTAAACATAATGTGAGAGAGGGCCTCAAGAAGAGAAGATGAACTGAAGCATGGATTATTATACCTTGTGGCCTTTGAGTTGCATAACTCTTGAAACCTCCTTGACGGAACCATCTTTCAGATACACAATTTCCCAGACCTAGAAACAAAAAAAAAGGTTCAAAGGAATAATGGGTTTAGATAAAATAAAAAAAGGCACAACCTTGACATCAGCAGTAAAAGCTGCAGCAGCTAAAAAGCGACCATTAGGTGAGACAGCAGCCATGTGGTTCTTCAACTGGTTTGTATCAACATGTCCCAAATTCTTGCCAGTTTTCCCATGCCAAAGTATGATATCAGTCCCTTCGGAACAAGAGGCAATGACAGCGCTTCCATCACCAGTACCATAGGTTGAAGAGGCTCCAGAGATGGTGAGGACAGCTTTCTTGTCATGAATATTATGGCGCTCCCATTTGATGGAAGGAAGAGGAAGCTTGGAGTGGTGTTGTTCCTTTTGCTTTTCTTCACCGTACATGTAGAGAGATGAGCCAGACATAGTGTTACAAGCCACAACAATAGAGGAGGCATCATCATCAGCAAATGACACAGCGCTTGGATGTCCTCCAGCTGCAAGATTGATCCTTAAAAATCTGCAAAAAATAAGAGAGAGAGAGAATGAGCGCTTCCACTAGCTAAAGAAGAGAAGATAGGAATATAGTTACTTGAAGCTTTTGCTAGAGGCATCATCTAGCTTGAAAACCCTGATCACTCCATCACCGCAAGCTATCCAGAGACAGAAAATTGGATCAACAAAATGCATATCAAAGTTTGGAGGAAAGGAGCAGGAGTGTAAACCTGTGGCCAAGCTCTTTCCATCAGAAGAGAAACAGATGGCATTAACAGAATCACCGTGTCCTTTCAACGTGTTCAAGTCTAGAGGATGATGACGCTGCTTGTTCTGATTCTGCAAAATTAATTATTTATTATTATAATAAAACCTCCTCCAAACAAATCCCTAATATAAAGTAAAAGGGAGGTTACCTTGTCGGTGGAGGTCGCGTGGTGAGATTTGGGATGATTCTTCTTTGGATTCGATTTGGGAATCCGGATCGGATCCTCCTGAGGCTCCGCTTTCGCCATCGAATGCACCTCCGATGTACGCTTCCTCAAGTACTTACCGAAGAAGACGACGGCCATCAACGCACCGATAACAACTGATGCCATCGCTACGGGAACCACAGAATCCATCTTCACACTCAAAATCGAGCGAGATCAAGCTGAGTAGAAGAAGCAAACGTTCTGGGCGTTAATGGCGGTGCCCTGTGTATTTTGTCTGTAGAGCAATGAAGAAAGAGATCCGCATGAAAGTAACTGGGTCGGATTTAACACAAAAAAACCCATTATCAAAAAGCCCATTTAAACAAGAAATTAATTCAAAAAAATTAGACGGATTTAACTGTATCCGGTTACGCAAACTAGTCTTCACAATCTTTATCGCAGAAAAACATCTTCCAACTGTAGCGATTGGAACACGTAATGTCAAAACTAACTTCAAAAGTCGATAAACCTGAGGATGTGAAAGATGTTTTTTTGTCTCTACCATCTTATATGCAAGATCTCCAAGACTTTTCAAATTAGAAAAACTTTCATTTTCACGGATATTATCAATATAGAGACTAAGTTAATCTTCAAGGGTCATCCGTTCAATATGACTAAAATCTTTAGGATAAAACTCATATAGTCTCATAACTTTCAAGTGATCAAACTCGCGAAATGAATCAGTGGGGCTCAAAGAAGCAATGCAACCAAGTAATTCAATGTTTACAACTCCTGAATTTGCATATCCAATATAGTGTAAAAGCATTCCACCTTGTAATGATGCATATTGGTTATAGTGCTTTTTTTTCTTGGATTTTTTGAATCAAATCTTTCATCCATAATTAGCAACTCAGTCTTGTAATTCTCACAAAAGGAAAAAAAAATTGCTGAGTAGAGATTCCCATCCTTTTTTCTTGAGATTATACAATTGTTATTTGGTGGATTTCACAAACGACATAGCATTCAGAATATCCTGATCTTTCCTTTGAAGAGCCTTTGATAAGATATTTGTGATCCCAAGAACAAGCAATATCAACTGTAAGTAGAATGAAAAGTCAAAGGTATATAAGTATTTGAGAAGACCATTCGCTTGTCGTTTTTTAATACCATCACTCCCATCGCTTTCGACATACTCAAGTAATTTAATGATAGAAGAAAACAAATCAACCAAACACAACAAGGTTTTATAGTGAGACCCCCAACGAGTTTTACCAGGTCTTTGAAATGAAACCTCTTAGTTTAATTCCTTTCCTATCTTAATTTCACCCTTCTTAGTTCTTTCCTCGATTTTTTTCCGAAAGTCTTCTCGAACCATATCCTTCATCTTACAAGAAGTCCCGACCACATTTAACAAGACATCAAACTCATCAAAGAAATTTCCAACTTCAAAATGCTTTTGAGCACTGCCACGACAACTAACTGGAGCTGATGAGCAAAACAATGGACATAACCTACTCTTAACTTCTTCAGACTCAATCCATGCTAAGAAAAAACTGAATCAATAGCACACTTCAGAGATAAAGACGATGTTTCTTTCACATGAATCACACCAACAAATCTTTCTTTAACTATCCCTTGTGTATCAACAAAGCGAAAAACCAAAGCCATTTGCTCTTTATCAGAAACATTTGCAGATTCATCTACCAACAAGCAAAATACATCATGACCAACTTCTTGAATAATAGATTCAATAACTTCTTCTGCAAAGCAATGGACTATATCTGTCTGAATTTTGTGGGACACCATCTGGTTGGTTTTATAGGCATTCTCTAACACAACTTTATTTACAAGTTCATTTTGCTCTGCAGTATATTTCACAAGCTTCAAAAAGTATCCCTTGTTAACTGAACCCACTGATTCATCATGGCCTCAAAACAGTAATCCTTGTCGTAACAGATACCTACAAGCATCAATTGAAGCATTCAATCTGATCTTATATTCTTTTTTAACTATGTCATTCTGCTTATAAAAAGCATAAACAATTGATTGTCCTAGTTTCATCAGATAATCAGCCCTTTTTAGTGCACTATTGTGAAAACTATTCACAGCTCCTACATGATCACGTAATCTATCTGTCTTCTTCTAGTCATTAAAGTCATTGATCACAAATGCATCACTTCCACCTTTATTTTCAGCATAATCTCTAAACAAGTAGCAGAATAAATAAAATACTATGTCTCTTTTCACACTATATTCTAACCATTCACCATAGAGATCGAACCAAGAAGGATTGAATCGTCTCAGTTTACCTTTAAAAAATGTTTTTGGAAATTCATGACCACGAGACTGACAAGGACCTTTCATAAGATATTTGTGTCTTATCTCATCTCTTTGGTGTGACGGATATTCAGATATCTTTTTCCTCTCACCAGGATCACAAGGTAAATTCTACAAATCAACATCATCAGGTGTGGATGCAATAACTTCTTTAAATCATCTTCATCAGAAGTCAATGGAAATTTTCGTAACTTCTCAAAATCATCTTCACAACCAGATGTTGATGCAAATTTTCTTTTAGGCTTGAAGTATTTTTCCATTAAAACTAGTCTGTGAAAGGAAAAAAAAAATTTGACACAATTTTATAGTTTCTAATTTTCCTATTTAACTACTATAAATCATCATTATTTTACCTTTTAATTTTTTTTTCTTGTTGAACTCGTATCCGCAACCTTCTTGTTTTTTTTATCAAAAAAAAGCCTTCTTC